TGGAAGGAGAGAGCGGCGGGTGGGACGGCGTTTCGTTATCGCCTGTAATGCACGGTCCTTCTTGAGGTACCAACAACATCGCAGTAAGAGCCCGCTCCACCCCGACCGCTCAGCTGAACACTAAATGATGGGATTTTCCAAAGCGTTTTCCTGATGGGCTTTTGAGCTGTTAAGTCTTAAGCAGCTCTTATTTCTAAGGCTAAAACAAAAATTGGTTCTTTTATCTAAGACGGGGGTGCTTCCAAATGACAGCTCGGGCTTTCAGACCCCTCTCGCCCCACGCCAGCGGCTCTGGCAGCAGGGGCAGCGATGCGGGAGCGGCAGCAGGGGCAGCGATGCGCTCCCCCTTCCCGCGCCTGCGGTGCCTGGCAGAGCCCCTGCCGGCGCTCCCGCTTCCCGCGCCTGCGGTGCCTGGCAGAGCCGCTGCCGGCCGGTGCGTTCTCCGACAAACCTGGTTTCAGAGCTACCAGCCAGGGGGGCTGAGCCTGCGCCTCACGCTTCTCCCCCAGCAAAGTCTGAACTGATAATGGGGCAGGCTGTGCTCAGCACCTTCCCTCGGCACACTGTCTCCACCGTTCTTTGAGTTAGAGAAGTGGGGGCAAAGCTGGGGAAGTATTTTCCCAGGGGAATACAAGCAGCCTGTGGAAACGCAGTGAGCCTCAAAACCTAGCCATTGCTGGAGAAAACCTAGCCATTGCCTCCTCTGCCATGAGCTGCTGGGAAGACTTTCAGTGACAGCTGGGGAAGGTCCGTGGCAGCATGAGGGGGTGGCAGTGGGCACAACAGCAGCTGCCATGTCCACGGGAATACTTGTGCAGTACCAGAATTGGCTGGGACATGTTATTGTGTCTGCACAAATGATGTCCCCAAGCTTGAGAAAAAGGACTTCACTGCACGCTTCCTGTGGGTTATCATACCATCCTCCTGCAATTTTATGCTGTTAGCCCTGTATCCCTTTATGCCCCATTTAGGTGGATAGGGCCTTGCAAAAACAAACAAAAACCCAAACAGACAAAAAAAACCCAAAACAACAACCCACAACCAAAAAAAAGAGAGGAATTGTAATGCCATTGAACAGGACCTCTTTACATCATGGGTGAGGCTATTATATAAAAGGAAAATATTTCATTCCATTCCCATATTGAAATACTAAAATCTAATGGGCAGCTGTACCTGCACTTTGTGGGAGGATATGTTCTAGGTATACAGACATACCTTTACTTTGAATCTTTAGTTATATCTAAGGGGAAAAAAATCTAGTTTCTGGTTGTCAGTGGAGCACAGATGCCCTTGCATAAGAGTGGGATTCTGGTGGGCATGCAGCAAGGTACCTCAGGGATGGGTATCGCCCAAGTTGCTGCTGGCCATGGGCAAAACTTACGGCATCTATGCTGTTTGCTACTCATGGTATTAGATAATTGTATCTCAAGGCTGCTACCCTGCCCTCTCAGATTCCTTTCCAGTCAATATTTCATCAACGTGACTAATCTACAACATGTTGCAAGCAGCATACGTATACATAAGCCTTGTACAAAATAAATCTGATGAAACAGCCTCACAGCTAATCAAAGACATTTGAGTAGGGAAAAGTATTGACATTTATGATGAAGTCTAGTACTGTCTAGCAGTTTGAGTATTAGAGAAGGTTATCTGCACTGCCAAATACAGCCTAAAAATTCTGCTGCAAATTCCCCTATATTTTGATAAAAGTAGTTTGAAAATCAAGGCTAGGATCCTATTTTGAGGTTTGATTTGCTTGTGTAGGTGGGTGAAATTACATCATCTATCAAAATGTCTTCAGTAACAAAGTGATTATAAAAGTATAACTTTGTAGATGTCACTACATAAAGCATGACAGCCTATAATTGGAGGATATTGTAAATTCTACCAAATCAGCTTGCAAGCCATTATTGAGTTAAACAAGATAAATGTTCTTTAAGACTCTTTTCAGCAAAAAGCTAAACTACTTGAGCTGAATTAGTATTAGGCAACCAGTTTGCTCACAATCTTTCTGTATGACAGACATAAGGGGAAGACTTCTTTCCAAATTATTGAATGTGAGGGAAAAACAGATGCAATGTCTTAGCCTTTTGATCTGATGACAGGCCAGGACTCTTAAAATGGCCATCATCATGGATTTCCCATTTCTGAGTTGGGGAGGGAAACCCTTCTTCCTTTGAAAGTTTGGACATTAGACTCTGATGTGTCCCATGGCAAAGTCCTACTTCTTGAGCACAACAAGAAAAAAATAAAAATAAATCACTTTTGAAAGAAAGCCTCATCTTGTTCTGCACGGAGCTAAAAGAAGACTATCTCTATTTTTCTTTAAATGTTCTTGTAGGTTATCTTTATGCAAATAGTGTATAGAAGTGCTGTAGATACAGAAAATGTAAGAGAATGTATTTAAATTATCAAAGTTTGATGCTGTGATCTGCCAGCATTACAGCAAATGTTCTATTTTAGCTGAATGATCTACAATTCTAATCAGCTGCAGGATGGATATAAAGAATTAAAATCTTCTAGTAATTAGTAACAGGAAGAGGAAACATGAGGGAGTATTTGGAAAATACTGTAAAAATGAGCCTATAAATATGTGATTAATAAGCTTGTGGTTACCTTCTATACACTAATTCTGCTTGTTTCAAATAAAGCATTACATGATTTGTAGTTAGAAGAAAAAAAAAATCAGATTGTCACCTTTGTGCTCCCTGGCATAATTAAATGAGATGAAAGAGAAGGCTTGAAGGTAGGAACACCATTATCTGGTATATTTGAGAGTATTCCAGTAATATCAGAGTCTCTCAATATCTCATAATCAATAAGGGCCTCATGAAATTTCATAGTTCCATCTGATAAAAACTACATCTAGATACAGGTATGTGACTTCATCCAACCTTAAACATTAGGCTTCTGGCTGTTAGAGCCCAGGAGATGCTCAGTCTGCCCTATGACCACAGAGCACATACTGGCTCAGAGAGTAGTGACTGTTACAGGAGGTCACAGGTGACAATTTCCTGACTACTTTTACAACTGAGATATGTAATTAATTGCTATGCCATCTGAATACACTCACCAAACATCCTTTCAGATGTTATCCTTTCTTTATGGAGTTTTGAAAGGCTTTGCCCTAAGAAATGCCAGTTCGTCTAAAAGAGATAGAAAAAACCAGCAGAACAAAGTAAATCAAATTAGGAATATAATATGCCTGGCTTATATTCACCCCATAGGGCTGTCTCCTGACTTCCCTGAAGATACCTCTTGAGGTATCCTAACGTAAATGCAGGTACTAAATACAAAACCTTTTTGTTTTAATGCTAAAAAGACACTGATACTTAATGACTATAAAGCTGAACACTGTGTTTAGTAGTAGTAACAAATCTTCCTGACAATTCATCTCTGCCACAAAACTTTGGAAAGTGCCTGAGTCTTCCTGTAGGAGCACCCAAACTGCTCTGTGTTGGCATCGTTACAGCAAAAATTAATCACTCACGAGCTCCAGCTATTAATAATCTTCTAATGTACTCAATTACACTGCAAATTAAGCTTTCCAATACTCAGATGCAGTGATAAGAGCATAAAAAGCAGTAACATATGTGCTTTATTATCTACTAAATAACTTACAAATACTATCTAGTTGCTTTAGTTCCCAATTAATATTTAGCAGACACACAAATCTGTGCCATATTTAATGCGCCAGTTATTTTACGCACTTTCCACATAGCTGCCTTACATCTTATCTGTAGAGCTATATATGAAATTAAGATTACTGCACATGTATCTCTTCTACAGCACAGGGGTATTACCTATATGAGGAAATTTTTATTCAGTGCCTTCAACAGCACTTAGTTTTTCATCTTCATAGGCAAAACCAAGTAAAAAACTCCATGACTCAGCTCTGCGTAGTTTCTGCCACATACCAGTGCTCTTTAGGAAAGTTCAAGACTTAGAAACAGCAGTCTGATTTAAGTCTGTTAACATCCCATTTTGTTTGGTTTGAATAATAAAATTCACCATTCTTACATTAGAAATGAACATGCAAATGTATACACAAGTTGCATGGATAAGACATTTAACAAGATAAACTTGACTGCTTTTTAAATACAAATCTAGTAGTTTTATCTCAGTAGTTTTAGTAGTAGTAGGTTTTTTTAAGAGATAAATATCTCTTAAAATATTTGTTTGTGCAGCTTGTAGAACTGCATGAAAGTAGCCGTAGGGTTTCGCTCACATTATGCAGTTTGTTGCATACAGGTGAATGATTTTATGTCAGGCTGTATAAGACATACTAGAAGACCTACAAATTGAGTCACAATAAAATGTCAGCTAAAACTAAATAAACCTCCTTATTTTGCTGAGCACAGGCACTCAAGTTACCTGTGTCAGCTGACTTTGGGTTGCTTAAAAAAATGCTTGCAGTACTTACTCTACTCACTCACAAACTTTGTGTAAGATCCCCTGTAAACAGGTTCCTGATTCAAGTCCAATGATAGTATCAAAACTGTTACCTTCAGTTATTGCTACTTCTGGAAGTAACTTCCTGGAATTTGTCCCCATCGGCCACAACACAGCACACACTTGCTTTCCCAGCAGAAGGCACACAAGCTGAAAATTGTATTGTATCTCACACTTGCATTGCAGATGCTTCCTGATATCAGCATTTTCCTAAAACATTGTGCATCTTACAGCCCACATCATGATAATCCATCAAGGGAATGACCAAATAAATTTCCTTGGTTATCATTATATCTGCCTGGCATTGTGCTTATTTACTAACAATTACCTATGCATCTATGGAGAGGTTTTCCTTTACATAAATACCACTTCCAAGCAGAGCACTCTGAGATACCACCAAGTTCAGAGGTATAATTGCACTGGATGTGATTTTTCCTCCTGGCCATTAACACAAAACTATTTACCAGCCTTTCTTGCCACTATGTCTCCTGCTGTTCTAACATGCCCAAAAGCCTACAGATTCTGCTATAGGACCCAGCAAGCTCCTAGCATAACACCAGGGAAAAACAATGAATGGGGAATAGCCTTGATACTCATGTTTTTCATTAAAAAAACCCAGTAATTTCAGTGGAAATGGGTAGGTATTAATGCCAGCTACTTGGTGAATCCCCTCTGATCGTGCTTCATATGCCACCGTTGCTTAAGGAGACTGGTTATTGGTCATTCAATCCACCAGCACCTATCAGATGCATCTCTTTGTTAAGTAACATATCAAATCATTAGGAGATCATTCCTAGACAGCCCAAATGGTCTTCACTGGAGAAGTACCCAAGGTACAGGGCTGCAGCAGGAACAGAGATGCATGAGAAGGAAGAAAAACACACACATCTCTAGGTGATTTCTTCCAATTTCTGTCATCCTACCCAGATCACAGAAAATTGTGGTGTTGCAGCAAGAGCCTTCTCTCTCTGAATCTGTGTG